AATTTTTGAACTCATTGAAGATTGGGAACTTTCCTAATCATGAGTTGAAACTTAAGTTGGGGTGTCCGGTTATTCTATTAAGAAACCTGGATCAAAGTCGTGGATTATGTAATGGAACTAGACTAACTGTGAAGACATTGGGGATGTGGTGCATCAAATTGGAGATTATTTCAGGATCGCATGCTGGTGACAGGGTTTTTTTTGCCTAGAATGACTTTGACCCATCACTATAAAAGTTTGAATTTCACATTGGAACGCAGACAATATCCCATTTCATTGTGCTTTGCAATGACAATAAATAAGAGCCAGGGTCAAACATTACAACATGTGGGTTTGTGTCTTCAGAAGCAAGTTTTCTCCCATGGTCAGTTATATGTTGCATTGTCTCGGGTTACAACGAAGCATGGAATCAAGATTTTGAGCTGTGATGCTGATGGTACTGAGTTGAAAAGTATGCAGAACATTGTGTATCAAGAAATTTTTGACTGATTTTAGGACCATTATTTGCTTTCCAATTATTTTTGTATAGAACACTTTTATTTAGATGGTACTGATAGCACTTGATATTAGCTTGATATTGGTTGCTCATTGATTTCGAAAATTGATGCTCATTAGAAATCAATATTTAAAGACCACAATTGATGGTTTATCTGATTGGTTTGTGGACTTCATAGTTCCTTCTTCACGCAAAATCTCGGTCCCCATGGGCATATCTACTATATGCTCCTTCTTGCTGGCTACATTGGCTAGACTTATGGGTTTAAGATTCCCTACGAGATCCTCTCTCTCACTTTGGGAAGCTATTCTGAAAGCTCTAAATAACATCACTGGTTTTGTCCTCGAAAACATATCTTTGCCTTTTTTTTTATTAACAACACCCCTTTCTATGGCATGTTCTTGAGGTGCTACTTTACCATTTATAAACTATTTGACCTGTAGATTTGGTGTTCAGTTGAACCGAATTACTTTGCTTTTTTAATTGTGGTTTACATGCTTCACTTGAGTCTAATGGGAGGTCACCATTGGCACATCTCGGTGAACTGACTCTTTGCAAAGCTGGCCGTCCACCACCAACTGAAATACAGATGATGGTATAGTCAGAAATGGGTGGAAATCTTTGAAAAGCAATTTCAGTGAGCTGGAGCAAAGTACTAGGTTGTATTTCTTGATGTCTAAGTTAGAAATTAAAATTTTGTAGTTATGTTCATATCTACGTGGAGCCCCATGTTGTCTAAAGTTTATATGTAACAAAAAATTGAAAAGAATGCTTCTTTAAGCTAAATATCAAGTTCTGGATCGAGGTCAAACAAACATAGGCTTGGTAAGGATTTATACAACAGAGAAGCCCTACAAATAGGTAGAGACATGTTTATTTCCCTAAGCAATGAAAGTCATTTAGAAGTTGACTGCTTATAAATTTAGATTTATAATTTGGATGCTTTTTCTAATTTATCTGAATTTTGCAGGTGGTTTATTGCTGAAATAATATTTTAATTTAACGTGGTTTCAGTCATTGAATATAACTCCAAAGATCATGCCCCTCAACTCCACTACTACCGAAAATGAAGAAGGAGATTGACAGTTATTTTCTTATTCCTCCTGCTTTCTTTTGTTACTATTTGTTTTATCATCTCCACCTATAAATACATTCCGGAGGAATAAGTATTTGCTCATTTACCATCTTATTCACAACAACAATCCAAAAAGGCCGTTAACAGATCAAGGCTTATTAACATGGCTGTTCGTGCATTGGCTGACTTAGACGTTCAAGATGTGGACTGTACAGTCCATGTTCGTGTTCTACGGAAGTGGAATATCAAGCAGAGTGGGAGTGATCAGATTGGTTTTGTGAACATGATTGTTACTGATGCTCAAGTACGTATTGCATCTCTTTTCTATATCTGTTTTCCTTCCTCTAATGATGCCTGTGCTAATGCGTTTGGGTTTATACGTGCAGGGCTCTGAAATGGAAGTGGTCATCCATAAGATTCTAATTCCAAAATTTGCACCATCAATTCGGGAAGGAGCCATCTACAAGCTGGGTCAGTTCTTGGTGCAAAGGAACACAACTGCATTTCGAGTCGCTGCACCGCAGTTTCGAATCGTACTCCTCCCTGACTCGGTTTGTGAAGAAATGGAGGATTCTGATGCCATCCCAAAGTTCTGTTTTCGGTTTCTTAAGACAGGAGATTTGAAGAAGGCATTCGAGCACCAGGACTACTTATCTGGTCCCAATTTTTTTTTTACTTGACCTTATCATATTACAAGTTGATTCTCTACTTTTGATTTCATTACTAGGTTACTTCTGTGTGCTGCAAATTTAGTTGGTGAACTGGTGCAATGCGATGCTACAGAAGTTATAACTGATAGCATGGTTTCAATAAAAAAAAAGGATGTCCATATTCGCTTAATTGAGTGAGTTTTGGAATGGTTTCATTTTATAGCTACTATCTTCGCTGTTCTATTCTAGAAAGATATTTATTTTTTGAATCTGATCTGTTGCAGCAGTGATGAAGTTGTGAAGGTCATTCTTTGGGACTCACTGGTCGACCAGCTTGACAATGTTCTCACTACTGAAGCTGAAACTGGAGCAGTGGTCATATTCACCTCTGTTTATGTCCATAAATACCATGGTTAGTTACTTTCCACTCCACTGATGAATGAGGTAAACTCCTTTCTCATTTTTCAAATAGTACATGTTCTTCAAATTTTCTTTCCATTGCAGGTGAGTACTACTTTTCCACCTCCTGTGCTTCCAATTTGTATTGGAATCTTCACTATCCAAGAGCTCATTCTATGCTTGATTTGTACGACTCTGATCCTTTTATGATTGGTCATTCTTTAACCTGATCTGAGTTTTAATAAGATTTAATTGAATTTCATATTCAAATGATTTTGCAGCAGCAGCAGTGGTATTCCTCGCAAAGATGGAGAAATTTGCCAGAGTTTTATTGTCCCAGCTTCTGTCGGGTTACTGGAAGCTTTGAACGTTGGTGGTCCAATTAAGGTCTGACAAAAAACCTGTTTTTTCTTAGTTCCTTTCCTCAAATGAAGTTTGATTTTGAGATTTCAAGGCACGTTATAATCTGCCTCACTTTATTTATTCGTCAATTTCAGGGCCTGACCTACAACATAGCAGCAGAGGTAATTGAAGTGAATGCTTTTTGGTCTGACCGCCAGAATGCCTTTATCACTGAACTGCTGGTGAAAGACGACAATGATTGCTGTGCTTTTCTCTTCAAAAGCAATGCATTTAGGTCGATCTCAGATTCTATTTTTGGGACAGAATATCAGTTTTAGAGGTCAAGCTTCGACGTCAACTTGAAGTCATTGAAAGGGAAGACATTCCAGTTCCTGGTGAAACCTGTGGAACACTTTTATAGACCTGGAGCAGTTGACTTAGTGGTTCTGAAAATCATGAGTGGCTAAAAGAGTAGCAAGGAACGAATTGCCAGTCTCATTGTAAATATTTTGCATTTTAGGGATTTTCTGCGCATTCTGATGTTTTTTAAGCATAGGTTGTTTATCATTGAAACTGTTCTTCAATTTAGTCATTTGGAGTTCCCATAGTAGGTTTAGCTTTGAGTCAATTTTATAGTCGGATTGGTAATAGTTTGTCGTCATTGTCTTCCTTTGCTTTAATGAGAAGTGGAGTTTTAGATTGTTCACGTTTTGTTAGTATGTTCTAAGCTTGGATTGAAGTCTCTTCCTCAATGGGCTTTATTGAAACTCAATCAATTTGATTTCTTGAAATGGGTCCTAGATGTTAGAGTTATGTATGGAGTAAGGAAGAGTTCCGTTGAACCGAGTGAAATTCAGGCCCAATGGCTGGAACGTCACCAGCTTGCATCATTTTTTCCAATTGAAAGAGAGTAGCTTGAATTTTAGTTAATTTAGATGGATACAGGAGAATTATGAAACTGAAATAATTAATTATTAGACAGGATGAACTTGATCCTTCAATGATCCAAGAATTGTTCGACTTTTGCAAGTTGCAACCCTGATAAAAGAGAAAGAATGGTCCATTTTTACCAGGTCAAGTATTATTTTTAATTTGGGCTAAATTGAGCCCATCCAAATGTGTAAGCCCGAATTGATTTCTGTCAATTTTTTATTTTATTTGCTGCAACCTTCTCTTTCTCCTTTGAAGATGATCGACCAAGCCTTAGGGATTCTGTAGAGGTGTCGCTGCGGCGGAAGATTGAAGAGAGAGAGAGAGAGAGAGAGAGAGAGAGAGAGAGAGAGAGAGAGAAAGGGGTGGGAGAGGGAGATTTATCGGCGGTTAAGCATCCCGAAGTGTGTGTTATGGTTAGCGGTAGCTGATGTTGCGAGAGCGAGTGAGAGGCAGAGAGATTTTCTTCTCTGCGGGGCTTGGGAGAGAGATAGATTGACCCGCGAGACTGACGGCGAGAGTAGCGAAATGCCTCGCAAGACAGAGTAGATGGAAATAAACACATCGACAATCGAGCAAGTAATGAGAGGGCGACAGTGGGCTGTTTGGATTTCAGCTTGAGCGTGGGAAAAAGGTTGGAGGTATGGTGAGCTGCGATGAGCATAGAAGGCGACAGAAGGGGTTCGAAGTTGGAAGGCGATATAGGGATGGCAACGGCTGCAGGAGCTATCGGCGATGAAGCACAAAGACGCCGCAACGCCTATCCATCAAGCTCACCTCTCCTTCTAATTCGATTGTGTGAGATTGAAGAGGTGATTTGTCGGCGATTTGAGCGGCCTTATTTTCAAGGGTAGTCTGGGACATTTATCGGAGTATTCCAAGGGAGGCTATGCATCAACTGCCGCCATTGCCTAAGAGTATTCAAGTGCGTTTGTTGACGGTTATCTCCGCCTTCCAAGGAAACACGATCTGATTAACTGCCTTGGTTCCAATATTTGCGTGTTGAGGAACATGGGTTTGGCGGTTACCGGTCCGGCTAGGCTATAAATTGTGAGTTTGAGGACTGCATATTGTTTCCGACTTACAACCATAGAAGTCACAGAGAAAAATGGCGCCGCAGCTGTTGAAGGATTTAGCCACCCATTCCCGCAAGTGGATTATTCAATGTCGGGTGGCTCGGAAGTGGATTGCAACTAACTGCAACACAGGAAAGGTTCTGCATATGGACATGGTGTTGCTCGATTCTGAGGTAACCTTCTATCTCCATTTAGAATCAAAATCTTTGGTTTGAGAAGGTCTGAATCATAATCCGATCTGTTTATACTTATCAGGGGTCGGATATTTGGGCCATGGTTCCTCCTCTCTTGATTTCAAAATTTGAATCGAGTCTGAAGGAGCAAGAAGTGTATGAGATTAGGCATTTTAAGGTTGCTTTGACGAAGAACTCATTCAGGCCAGTCCCCAACCGTTTGATGATTGAATTTGATTCAGCCACCTTAGTCCAGCATGTTCAATCGGTTCCAAAGATACCACTCCACAAGTTCTACTTTCTGAAACAAGCTGATATGATGCAGAAGTTGTATGATAAGAAGAATCTTTCAGGTGGGGTGTTGTGTCTTTCTATGTTCATGGGAAATCAGGGAACGTTTTAACTAAAAATCTCCTTCTTGCTGCAGATGTGATTGGTCAATTGATTGACCATTCATCAATAACCTCAAAAACCTCGGCTACAAAACGCTGGAAAGAGATCACAATAAAACTGATTGAGTTTGACTCTTTAAGCCTCGAATTTTATTTTCAATTCAATTTGTTTGTCAACCATGTCCCTGACTTTTGACTTTTGTTTTACACTGGACAATCTTTATACCAGAGGGGATTTGGTCAAAGTCACTTTATGGGGAAGTATCGGCAATCAATTGGAAGACATACTCTCTCGCAATGAAGGGGAAGCTATCATCCTGAGCATCACTTCTGTGTTTGTGGACGAATTTAAAGGTTCTGGACACTCAATCTTGCTTCATTATCTTTGTTTGCAAGTGTTAAATTGGAAACTAACTGCATTTTTTGTTTCTTCTATAAGGGGATCTTTGTTTGTCATCAACAAGAGCTACACAGCTAAACAGCAATCTGGATATTCCAGAAGTGCATGCCTTTAATGTTGGGTATGTGGTTTTATGTCAGTACTCAGTTAATTCTGATACTCCTTAGAACAATAACTCGAATTTGCTCTGTTCTTGTTCCTATATTAAGAACGCTTCCTTGATACATAGTGACATTTGCAGCCTCCATTTTGAATCATTGTTAGATTGTTTTATTTGTATACCATTTCAGTTTTGTTAATGCTGCTGGTGTTGGATTTAAGTTCAAGAAATGATGTTTCCTTATAAATGCAATTATAATGCTTTTTCCTTTAAATGGTTGACTTGATCTGTTTCACAAAGGTTTCCCTTAGTTTGCTCCTAGAGCTTTATGTGTGATAACTATCTTTCATCATTTTGTATCATATTCTTTCTCATGTTGCACCTACACTGTGAGCAATGCATTTTGTGGTTCTCAAAATCATTACTTCTAATGGGTAAGATAAAATCAAGGCTTTCAATGGTTATTCAGACTGTAAATAGTCTTAGTGGAAGTGTTTTGCTGATAATTTCCTGCTTAATGTTAAGGACAATCGGGGTTCAAATTCTAAGTAGTTTGATTTTCTGAAATTTGTTTAAATGATTATGCTTTATGTTACAACTGGGTTTCTATTATGAATCAGTTCTTCATTTTCATCTACTCTCTGTATTGCTTTAACTGTAAAATTCCAACTACTTTCTGTACTGCTTTAACTATAAAATGAACAAACAGTTAAGACATTTTCCTTTTTAGTTTGGTAAAAAGACTCAATGGTATCTGACCAAGACCTGTTAAACGATGTCCTGCTGTTATACATTTCTAATGATGTATGCTATAAACAACTACAGCACTTACATGTATGAAACCAAACTAAGTTGCTGCTAAAATGCTTTAACTTCTATACATATGCATTATCAGTTTTAAATTTACGCTCCATTCTTCAATTGAGAGTAATATGTTAATTTATTGCTTGCCAAGAACTGAATTAGCATTATTGAGTGCAGGGGGTTGTTCGTGGGAGCTGTTTACAGATGCTTAATTGACTTTCATTGTGTTTTTAAATAAGAATAATAGTTTAAGACCATTTTCGATGCATTCTAGGGATAAAAGCTTGAAATACATCTGTTTATGCGTTTGACACTACTACTTCTGTTTTGCTGGCTTCCTTTTTTTGTTATTTCCTTTCTTTCAATTTGTGTCTGGTGGTAAAAAGTTGTTGGCTGAACCTCATTATGAAACTAACTTTTGGTTGTACTTTAGGAAAACAACTCTCACAACACCTGTTTTGATTGCTGAAGTCCCTCCTGTTGAGATCCCAAAGATTTCAATTGCTCAGCTGAATGATTTCAAAACCATGGAGGAACACACTGTAAGTGTTTTTCCTGTTTACCTGCCAGCCTTATAACCTGTCCAATTTTCCTAATATCAATTTTTACTGAATTTCAGGACAAATTGTTTGCGATTGAAGGGAAAGTGATTCAAGTACGCCCTAATTGGTGTTACATGGGATGCGCTGTATGTCCTCGCAAGGTGGAAGAGGATCTGGAAGAGTACTTTTGTGGACACTGTAAGACCACATCTTCCATTGCTAAGGCCAAGTAAGTGAACAATCTGAATCTTGGTTTCTGTGTTATATGCAAAGGTAGGATGTTAATTGATGATATGGAGGAGACAAACTGATTTAGGAGTTGGCTACATTTTATTTCTTTTGCCTAGATTTAGAGTGAAGCTCCAAGTGCAAGATGATATTGGAGAAGCTGATTTTGCAATTTTAGAGCATGAAGGTGTGCGATTTTTTGGAGTGATGGCTGATGTCTTATTCCAGTCAAATCAGCGACAAAAAGAACCCATTACATTGCATATCCAACAGGTTCTTAACATGACACTGAAGCTTCATGTTCGCCTCACTCAGTTCAATTTCTCGAATCCTCAAGCTGAGTATTCTGTGGCTAGCGTTGATCATGACCCTCTTCAGGTAATTGATTATGCAAATAATGCAGTTTACCTAAAGGATAGCAGCTAATTTTTTTGGTTTACGGCTTCTGATTCCCTCTAATTTGGTTGCAGCAAGTGACTAAGATACCTGATCCTGTGAGCGTTGGTGGATCAAGCTCTTGCGGGTTGAAAAGGAAGCATGATGATGATGCTGACCCTGTGGAAGAATAGTATTGCTGGAGATTTTGTGACCTCAAAAGTCACAACTTGCAGATTCTACTTAGTATTCTGTTTTAATCTATGGGACATATTGTGTTCTGTTTTCATTTAGTTTGAGACTCTGCTTCTATGTTCATCTATTATGGATTGTTTCTTTTCATTAGTTTCAATTGTGAAATACAGTAATATTGTTTGGTTGCACCCTTTTCTTAGTTGTTTAGTAGTTTATTCACTTATGACATGTGGTCTTTTCCTTCTTCAACTTTAATTGATTCTTGGAAAATCAATTGCATGTTTAATGGCCTATGAATATAGCTTTCTATGCTACGAGTGATAAGTGTATTAAGAGCTTTGCTGCAATTTTTTCATGTTGCTGTGTTTATTATTATCCAAAGACATTAGGTGTTTGATGTTGGAAATGGTATGGATTTGTTCTGTTGACTTCATTTGATGTTGAAAATGGTATGGATTTGTACTGTTGATGAAGTCAAGTCTGTGCATAACTTTAATCAGCAATTATTTGATTGTCCTTTCTCAATAATGTTGCAATGTTTTGTCATATTCATTCACAGAGTGTGTTTCACTATTGGTTTCGTGGACTTAAGTTGCTATATTTACTTTCATGCCCTTCAACATGATGTATTATGGAGATTAATCATCTGGATTATGAACGTGGCTTCTTGATAAGGAAAAACTTCATTTATAAATTACAATTTCTTGAATCTAATTGATGGAGTGTTTATACATTACCCGGCCAACGGGCCGGGCCCGATGCTAGTTTTAACATATTGGGTTGCATAATATCTACTTCACAATTTCTATAACAAAAAATCTACTTCACAATTCGTAACAAGAATTTTTTTTTTATTATTCTTTATATGTAAATATCTGGCCAATATAAAAAACTGAAAAGAGATAAATCCCATAAATAGAAAAGCAGAAGATCCTAAGTGATTACGTTCCCCTTTATCTCTTAATTACCTAATAAATATGTTTCCTTATCATGGTAAATCAATAAAGCACTTCCCTTCCTATTCTTCTTCTAATTGATCAAAAAATTGATATTACACAAGCCCTCGTCTACTGATCATTCCCACGCAGCTAAGGGAAGAAACCCTCGCCGATTACGAAAGTCAAAAGCCCTTTGTCTTTTAGTCTTCCGCCATAAACGAAATTCAATCAACCTCCAATCCTCTTCTCTTTTGCGGACTCCAACCGATCTACGAGGAATCCCGATCGGCCATCTCACTTGATTCATCGACAAGATCATCGCATCAACCTGTGACTCTCCTCTTATGTGTGATCGGCCGGGTACAGTACTTCATCAATGGTTTTTTTCTCTCTTCTCACGTTTTGGTATATATGTATAAATTGATACAATTTTTTGGTTTTGACAACCAACACTAATAGCTATGTCACGTACAAAGAAGACTAACAAAAGACAAATGGAGCCTATTAATGTTAGATGAAAAGGTGATCCTGAATTCTTCTGCCCATGCCTTGAGTTTTTTCTTCAAAAAATTTCTTCCTATTTAATTCCCAGTGATACAATTATCTAAACTGTTGAACATTTATGTTTGCCTACTAAAGTATGCCCAAACAAATTATTGACCCGCTAAAACTGAAAATGATCTCAGATACTAAAAGATTTAGAGAATGGTGAAGGGATTCAAGAACCAGAGGAGAAGTTTGGCTCATTGCACCGAAGGTGGAAGGGATCCCATGAAGGCAAGGATATTAAGTATTAATTAACTAACGAGAAATTGATAGAATATGTATCTAACCTTAAAGTAAAGCATTTGGTAGAACCTGTTACCAAATGTTTAGTATTGCTAGTAGCAAGGTTGGAGTTTAATAATATTTTTTGTGATATGTTATGTTGTCACCGTTGATGTTGTTTATGTGATGAAATTTTTGTTACAAAATGTTTTTGTTGTGACAATCTTATAGTCATAAATTATGAGTGACCGTAATGTTGCATATGTGACAATTACATTCGTTACTAATAGTTACTTCAGTGATAATTGACCCGATCCCTAGACCATATCTTCAATCTTGAAAAATGTATTTGTGACAACTTTGGTTGCAGATTACAATTATTTGTGACAATTAAACACGTCAATATTGTGGTTTTCTTGTCGACACTAACTTGTCACCAAAACGATCAATATCAACGACAATATTGTCACGAATGTATTAGTACATGTTACGAACAAAATTGTCACAATTGAATTATCATTTATGATGATTTAGACTTGTCATGGATGAAATTTTAATGTTGCAAAAACTTGTAGAAATTGTTGTCTATATTTCTAGAACGTGTTGCAAAATTTTGGTAATGTGTTGCGTTTAATAGTATTGCGTAAGAGGTAAGTATATGCAACCCTTTTTATTTTGGTTGCGAAAAATGAAAAAACAGTTGCATATTCCTTTTGCAACCCCTACTATATGCAACTCTAACAAAAGTGTTGCCCTCGGATTTTGTAACTCTTTTTCTACTTTCCGCAACACATTTATGAGGGTTGCAAGAACCCTCTTTTCCCGTAGTGTCATAACCCATATAGAGAAGACCCTGGTAATTACGAGGGAAGAAGAACAAAAACGTGATCCTCGAACTCCAGTCATGATTGTGGACTAAGAAGATGATCTTGGGCCCTTCACTTTGAGTTGCCTCTTTGAAGATCATCAAATTGAGAAAGGGTTGATTGGTCTAGGATCTAATGTAACATCTTGCCAAGTTGTTCATGCGACTCACTCGGTTTAGACAACATCGAAGAGCGATATTGGGAGGTGAACTTGGATAATAATTATAAATTATATGCCCATGCCATGTTGAGAGCCCTACGCATCCAAGTGGATCCAATTATCTTTCACCAGACTATGTGGTATTAGACATGGTAAAAGAAGATTTCTAGCTACTTGTTAATCCTCAGTCATTTGTTCTTGGCCACAGCTGGGACAGTTATGAGCGTGCCCAACAAAGAAATCACTCTACATGTTAGGTAACACCAAGCATACGGTCAAGATGGATGAGAAAAATGAGTAATCAACTCTAGATAAGGATGTTCCACTTCTACAAGTCCTACCAAAGGATAGCGAGTCTCTCTCAAGGTCAAGGGTAGGGTGAGAAACCACCAATGGCTATACACCAACGCTCAACTCATCAGTGGGCTTCATGTCCCAGTTTCATATTGTGCATTTGACACTCATTTTCCTTGATAATTTCTAAATCTATGATGAGGAAGCTATCAAGTTCAATATATTGGAAAAATAGAGTCTTACTACTTGAAAAAAAGCTTGCTCAAATGGCTTTCTCCTTCACTCAAAAATATATCCAAACTCTTATGGAGAAAATTGATCAGTTGAAGAACGAGACTTGGAATGAGTACCTAGACTCTTGTAATCACTATAAGGATTAGGGTTTCAAGGCTCGCCTTCATGAGTTCTTTCCCATGATGCTGAGCGAATGAGAGGATGGATGGGTCTCCGAGGCCAACAGGCCGTCCACCTAAGACAATTGTCTTCCCCTAGCTCAAAGGCATCAAAGAAAAAGTGCTCCATGGAATCTAGGCCTGACATCCAACTAAAGGATGTTAAACAAAAATTTTATAGTGAAGACAACCCAATGTAAGTTTTTTATTCAGTGACGCTGACATAAACTGGTTAAAATCAACTTAATGACAACTATTAGATTTTATGATGAAATTGGTGGCACAATGTTCTGAATTACCTTCTGATGGAAGTGTGATGTATGAAATTAAGTTTTAGAAAATGCTAGTACAAGTATACCTTTGGAGTAGAAGAAAATGGATATAGAATTTCTGATGTGACTTCGATAAATTGTTTAAAGTGGAAAGTGTGAATTGGTTGACATGAACTATTGATATAATCCAATAACAAACTATATAGTGCTGGTGTTTTGGATAATTTTAGAATTAATGCATGAGGAAAGGGTTTCGATAAATACTAGATGACGACCTAGAATCTTAACATTAAATGAAATGGATTGCGTGTTTAATTATGTGATTGCGGTATCTTGTAGACTTCACCATGTAGGTGGGAGGAATGCGACCAGTTTTGTCATAAGTATTTTGCAGTTGCCAAATGGTTGGGGTTTCTGAGCAACTTTAACTTCTTACCTTACTCATAAGGTAGAGAATGATTAGTTATGCATAGGTCACTAGGGATTTACCTCTTATGTTTTAAATGATGATTTTAATTTGATCAAATGAATGAGCATGCTTTGGGTTATAATTACTACTTTGTCGTCATGAATGGTAAAGATATTATGAGACTAATGATGTTAATTATCGACATGGATTCATGATGATATGTTTTAACTGTAATGCCTAATAGATTTTGTTGCACGGCTGAACCACTAGTTCAACTCATGAAATTTAAAGGGGGGGGGGTAAGACCTGATAAGAGACAGAGCTCAATTGATATATGGCTCCAGATTAGGCTGTTTGAGCCAACATAGCTTAAAGACATTTATTTTCAATGGTGAACAAATATAGAGATAGTGGATCACCTTGTCTGGCACCTTTCTTTTTTCTAAATAACCCACATAAGCCTCTATTAACATTGATACTAAACTATGTCATCTATACACAAACTCTGATAAAAGCTAAGAACTTACTAGGAAACCTCATTACTACCATCATCAGGAATAAGTACCTCCAATCAACCGAGTAAAATGCCTTCGGTAGATTGATTCTAATGGCACATCAAAAAGACAATATCCTTATATGGTATCCACTTACTGGTTCTTTTGAGCCATGAGAATGTTATCCATGGTGTACCTACCCTTAACGAAAGCTGACTTATTTCCATTAATAACATAAGGCATAACTGCTCTGAGTCTTTTAGCTAGTATTTTAGCCACTATCTTATACAAGAGATCGCCATGGGATATTCATCTATAGTTTTTCAGATGCCATGCATTAGGGACTTTAGGCATAATGACATTGCAGTATCATCAACTCCACTAGGCATCTTACCTATATGACATA